TTCCTCAGTGGGACAGGCTTCCTTTGGAGGAGTTGGGCTCTCCTTCTCTGAAGGTTTTCACACAGAGGCCTGATGGCCATCTGACAGCAATGCTGATTCTGTGGACTTGGGCAGATCCTGAGAGGGAGGGCAGGAAGGGGTTGCCTCAGGGCTTAGTTCTCATTGTGGCCCTTTCTTACATGACCAGGGAAATGCTGATTGCCACTTTGGGGTCAGGAAGTAATTGTTCTCTGGGCCAGTTTGGCCAGGGATCCCGGAGGTTTTTGGTCATCTTCTGGGTGTGGAACAACAGTCACTGTGGGTGTGGATGAGGAGGTGTTTGTGAGTTTCCTGCCTTGTGCAGGGGGTTGGACCAGATGACCCCTCTGGGTCCCTTCCAACTCTATGATTCCGTGATAAGTCAGCTGTGATTTGAGGGCACTTTCCACCAGTGTCTCTCTCTCTCAGGACTGCAGTGCACTTCCTGAGTTCCAGTGTGGGACACCTGCCCAAAAAATTAGCCGCTGGTGCTTTAGACCAATAGAGTCAGGGGACAACTTGTCCTTTTAACATTTATTTATTTATTTAACAAAATTTATGCCTTACCTTTCTGCCCTCCTAAGGGCCACCAAGGCAGCTAACAAACTGAAACATACATAATTAAAACACATCTTAAAAACCAGTCAAACCAACAAAAAAAACATCAAGAAAACCGGAGCTAAAATACAAACTAACACATTAAAACGGCAATGAAAACATTGGGCAGGAAGGGAGGATCACTGAGGGAAAGCCAGGCAAAATGAATAAGCCTTCGCCTGGTGGCAGAAGATGGCGTTTAGGGGGTTAGAGAGTTTCAGAGTTTTGGTGCCACCGCTGAGAAGGCCCTCCCCTGGGCTGCCACCTGCCTGATCTCAGAAGGCCGCAGAAGAGAACCGTAGCGGCTAGATATGCTCGTGAGGAAGTAGTCGGTCCTTCAGGTATGTGGGTCCCAAACCACAGAGCGCTTTAAAGGCTAGTTGGGCCAGGGCTGGAGTCGTGTGGTTCCTGTACTGTTTTTTTATATACAAAGAAAGTGGTTTACAAAATACCAGTTTAAATCGTAAGAACATACCAAGTATAGGACCAGAAGGGTATTAGCAGCAGTATCACGTTTATATTGTGCATCTAATTTTGAACTGAGACTTCGGCATGCGGATTGTCAAATTCACAAGTAGGGAGGTGTTTTACTCAGACGGGTCAGCCACTAAGTTTGCATAAGGACCTCAAAAAATAAAAACATTTAACATTTCCAACATGTTACTGTGGTGGAGGATCTCACCGCCATTTTGAGGGAGCGCTCCTTCTCCTCTCGTAGGGGCGGCTGGCCCTTGCAAGAAGTGCAGAGTGGGTGGAGCAGCCACCCACCCGCCCCACCTCTTCCCTGCTGGGTTCCGGTGCCTCCCCGGTCTGCTTGGTGGTGGAGATGCCGGATGCTCCACCCACTGGCCCCACTGGTGGACCTCCTGGTGGCACCTGGTATTTCTGGCCGCTGTGTGACACAGAGTGTTGGACTGGAGGGGCCACTGGCCTGATCCAACATGGGCTTCTCTCTCATGTTCTTATGCAGCCCTTTCGAGGGCTGCCTTTGCCACCACCGCCAGGTGAGGCAGGCAGGCGCCAAGACAGGAGCCGCCTCTGCACGAGGGCAGTGCAGGAGCCAGGCAAGCCAGAGGAGCTGCGAGTGGGCGGGATCCCCCACCCCACACGAGTCTGAAACCCAGGCAGGAGCCTGAAACAACCGTAGAAATGCTTGCTCCATTAAAACCAAGTCAGACCCACAGCCAGGTACCAAACCAGCAGACAAAACCATTTGAAAGTCAGGCCTGAATGCCCAGGAAAAGGGGGAAGTCTCCACTGGCCACTTAAAAGATGCAGGTGACCCAGCAAAGGAGCCTCTTGGGGGGGGGAGTGCGTGGGATAAATGTTGGGGCAACCACAGAGTGGGGGGGTGAGAACCCTGCTCTTAGTCAGATGCCCATCTGGACACCTTCTTTACCTTTACGTTGTTTAAAATACTTACATAGCTGTGCTTTTGACATACACTGACAGCAGTTTCCGTGTATGCAGATAATACCACACCCATTACAGCCAACACTAATAGATTTAAATAAGAGATTCTCCTTGAAGGTTTACAGAGTGGGAGCTCATGTCCTGATTGTCATGGGCAGGAAGCCGAGTGTGGGGTGGGAGGCGTTACCAGGAGCCAGAGTGGGGCGCAGTGATTCCGTCTGGCGAGCTTGGGCCGGGGAGGGCTCGTTGAATCCATAGGGCAGCCCCCTGGCGTGCTCTCTCTCTCTCGCTCGCTCTCTCAGCCTCGCTGCACTCCTGGAGTTGTGGGGAGAAACAGGACAGGTCCATCTCTGTGTGCCACTCTGAGCTCCTTGGAGAAAGCGTGGCATGGCTGGGGCACAGCACTCCCTGCAACACTCAACAACACGGGCACCCTGAACTGGGCCAGGAAGCAGACATCGGAGGCCCCCGCGGTTGGTGGAGCCCACCTGCCAGAGCATGGGCAGCTGCATCTGAGGCGAAGGGTTTCCGTTTGGAACGCCAACCCCACAGCAGCTTCCCTCCGTGGCGTCCTGCAACTGCTGAACAACACGGGAGATAAAATTAATCCTTGCGGTTTGCCACAAAACAGACCCCGTGGAGATTTCTGTTCTGCCTCCCAGAACCTGCAACAAGGACACAGGGGGGCAGGCTGAGGTGCCTCCCGTTTTCGCGGCAGTGGCCTTTTAACTCTGTGTATAAATTCAAGTGGACCAAAGCGAGTGGAAGCAATAATGCTGGCAACGTGCAGTGAGGTTTTTAAAGGAGTCCTTCCATTTGTAGCAGTTTATTTGCTAAAGTCCTTGGTGAAACCAGCAGGTCTGTGCGAGGTGGCCTGGGGACTTCTGAATGTAGTAACAGGACGGAGGACATAGGAACCCTAGGTATACTCGGTCGAACGCTTGGAATTGCAGCTTAGCTAATGTTAAGCAAACAGAGAGTTAGTCTTAATTCAGACCTTTGTTTTATGTTGTGCATTTAATTTTCAGAAATTGCCCTTGTTGGAAAGAGGGAGTTTACGCTTTCCTCGGGCTTTTTTCCAGCCACCTGGTTAAATTAGCACTGGGAAAAGGAGGGGGGGAAGGGCAGAGACAAGCCGGCTGGCTGGGTCTGCTTGAATTATTTAAGGCTCCGGCGACTTCTTGGAAAAGCATTTTCCACTTGCAGGATCCAGTTGTTACTTCAGGCCATGCTGTGTGTGTGTGTCATTATTTGACATTTGTTCTGCCTGAGTGTGACTTTCACCTATTATATTTGTCCTTCCCTTCCTTTCCTGTGTTTAGGTTTACGCGCCATCTCCTAATTCCGATGACTTCAACAGAGAATCGCCAAGTTACCCATCTCCTAAGCCGCCCAGCAGTATGTTTGCTAGCACTTTCTTTTTACAAGGTAAGAAAGAAATGTTTCTACTTGAGCCAGCGGTTTGAGGAATGCGTACCAAGGAAACGAACATACGCTTAGATGTAAAGGGGGGGGCCCTACATAATATGAGCATGTGGGACAAATCAAAACATAACTGGGCTTACTTCCTTTCCCAGTCTTGTGTGTGCCAAAATACAGAACGCACACTAGGATTTATTGGCTTTTGTGTGCCACATGAGATCCCGATGCTCATGTAAGGGAGCTCTGTACTAGACCGGATGGGCTGGGTCTTACATTGGTTTGGGTTGTCTTTTAAAAGGACTTCGGAGCAGCGTTCTGATTTTCACACATCTGTCTTATGGTCAAGTCAGTGTAGGCTAGGTCAGTACAGGTCACCAAGCAGCAACACAGAAAGAGTGACAGCCCCCCCCCCCGATATCCTTGCCCCACTGCACAGCTCCCTGCCAGCCACTTCAGCCACTCCATGCCCATGACCGCTTGGTAAGACCACACTTCACTGCCACAGGAGGTGGCGGCAGCTACAAGCACGGACAGCTTCAAGAGGGAATTAGATAAGCATATGGAGCATAGGTCCATCAGTGGCTCTTAGCCACAAGGTACAGATAGGAACTCTCGGTCTGGGGCGAGTGATGCTCTGTCTTTTTGGTGCCTGGGGTGGGGGGAAACAGTGGGAGGGCTTCTCGCGTCCTGGCCCCACTGCCGGACCTCCTGATGGCCCCTGGTGTTTTTGGCCACTGTGTGACACAGAGTGCTGGACTAGATGGGCCACTGGCCTGATCCAACATGGGCTTCTCTCTTATGTTCTTATGTGTTACGGTTGCTGGCAACACATGCTGTTGTGCCATGTAAGATCCCTGGCTTGCTTTCTTCTCCCCACCCACCCCCCGTTGTTGTTTTTTTTTAAATGAAGATGGGACCCACAGCGCTTCGGATCTTTGGAGCCCTTCTAACGGGATGAGCCAGCCCGGCTATGGCGGAATGCTTGGAAGTTCCTCCTCTCACATGTCGCAGTCGGGCAGTTACAGCAGCCTCCACGCGCATGACCGCTTGGTAAGACCCCAGCAGGCACTCCCGTGCTGCCGCTTGCCAGTCACTGAAGACGGCAGTCCTGGAACGGTGACTTACTTGGAGTGTGACGGAAGAAGTGGTGCCGTGAGAAGGTTTGGCCCTTCACAGCGGCCAAAGGGTCAGAGTGATCAGCTGAAGCTTTCATTGGTTAATCAGGAATTGCCAAGTCTGGTCATTGTTCAAGCAAAGGTTGCATCTGGGGTGGCAAGCAAAGGCTCTGCTTCCTCTTCTGAGGCGGTGGTTGTGGGTTACTCTAAGGCTGTGGAGTCTTGTGAGCAATAATTCTACTTTGTGAGCTACTGGCATTAAAGTTGTGAGCGAGCGATTCGGCTGCTGCAGAAATTAGTTTGGCTCCGGAGCCCTCCTCTCTGAGCGGAGACAGAAATGTGTGAGCCGGAGGCTAAAGAACTGGGAGCTAGCTCACACTGACTCAGCTTAGAGGGAACACTGCTTAAGACCGCTTTTGTTGATTAGACAGCCAGATCTCTCACATTTCCTTCACTGAGCCTTCCAGTGTTTGCGTTGGAGAGACTCCCCAATTTTAATGGCGGTTTGGTGGTGGTGGGGGAGGTGATAGACAGGGTCTGGTGGGTAAGGATCAGCAGCAGTTCTCACAAGAGAGGGGTGTGAAAAGAGAAGTTCTCTACGGGTTTGTGTGCAGGGTGATCCCGGGTGCTCAATGGAAGAGTCAAGCTTGCCAGTATCACCATATCATTCTGGAGAGGAACTCCAAAGCAGACTGTGAAGAGCTCTTTCTGAACTGGGTGACTCTGGGCATGAGAACGGCGGGCGAGGTGCCGCATATGTGAGTGCAGAGTGACAGGACAGGGAACCCCGACGGCATCTAAACTGGCTGGTCTTGTAGGGTGCTCCGTGGAATCTCGCCGTGCCGTGCCACAAAGGCAAACTGAGTGTCAAGAGTGGGATTTGAAAATGACACGGCAGCCGTCACTGCCCTGATGTCTGTGGTGTGGCCATGTCGAGAACCCTGTGGGGTGCAGTCTCGTCTCGTCCCAGAATGCAAAGTTAGCTGACTAATGCAAGGGAGTCCTGCTGGCCTCAGGGTACAGGAGTGGCCATTTAAGTTAGTGACCACTGAAAACATGGCTCTGAGGAAGACTGGGCAAGTCTGTGGGCTGGGTCTGCTTGTGCTGCTGGCCATTTCAGCAAAGAACGGCTCCTCCTTGGTTCAACAGCACCCACCCCCCTGGACTGCCCTCTGCCGCCACAGACAGTCTTGAAGGCTGAGTGCGCCGCTCCTGGGCTCGGTGGGCTTTGGCCTGAAGTCCCGATGCTGCCGATTGCTGCATGTCTTATTAATGCTCACCCGGCCTTTCCCTGATTCCGTTTCTGCTTTTTCCCCTAGAGCTATCCCCCACATTCAGTCTCGCCCACAGATCTCAACACCAGTCTTCCTCCAATGTCCAGCTTCCATCGGGGCAGCGCCAGCAGTTCTTCGTATGCGGCAGCCTCACACACTCCACCTGTCAATGGATCAGAGAGCAGCACCATCCTGGGTAAGAAGGCTGTGGAGACCTCGGAGGGTCCTCTGGAAACGGCAGCCGGCTCTGCTTGTGCTGCCCCTGAAGTGGGATTTACCAGGCCTTGCCTGTCGCTGTGCCATCCTCAGTGGTGATGGTTAGAATTTTGTCCAGAGAGGTGGCATTTGTCGATCGAGTCATATCAAGCCCTTCCCACTTCTGAGTTGACTGTCAGTGTTAAGCTTTCAATTAATTCATTGGTTCCCTACCCCAGTAACCCGCGTGACATTGTGGTTGGAGTATGGGAGAACCGGGTTCGAATCCCCTCTCTGCCGTGGAAGCTTGCCGGGTGACCTTGGGCCAGTCACTCTTTCTCAGACTGACATTCCTAAATCTGAGAAGGCTCCTGGGTCCTCCCGCCTTAGAACTGCTTGTCCCGTTCCCCCACCACCACCACCACCACACACACCCAACAGCCTGCATGGTTGGGGGGTGCTGTGCTGCTTCCTTTTGCCCGGGCAAGCGCCAGCTCCCCTGTGGCTGCTGTCACTGAGGTTCTTCCTTTGCCGTGCCACTCCGTGTCAGCACAGGCAGGCTCTGGGCGTGGCCGAGTCCACGTGTCTGTGCCTTTACAAAATAGACAAAGAACCCAGAAGCCATCCACGAGCAAAACCTGTGCCCTCAGAGAAGACCTAGGCTGGAAGAGGAAGTTCATGAGTGAGTCCAGCCCTCCACTTTGATTTGGCCCGGGATTCTCGGTGTCCCTTTGGCAGAGCAGTCGTGTTTGATCGTTGATTGTGCCAGTCATCTGCGACATTAAATCAGCATCCTGATTGCCTCTTTTTTCTTTTCTTTTCTTGCAGTGAACAGAGGCAATGCTGCAGGAGGCTCACAGACTGGGGATGCCTTGGGAAAAGCTTTGGCATCCGTAAGTAATTTCTTCCAAAGTGTTCGTGGGAATGACTTGAGGCCCTGTAAAAATTCTTTGATATAAATCAGTAAGTAGGTATTTGTACGTGGTATCCTCTGTGTATACATGTTTCAAGAGAAATAAAAGCTTTAGTATGCATGTAACTGAAGTCCTTGCTGGTAAATAGCGGATTTGTTTGTATGGCAGAAGGCCTGTTCAAGGCCTGGCGCAGGCACAGCAGGAAGGGCAGGTGCTTGGAAAAGACGGGCTTAACGCAAAAAGGCTTAGGAAGTGACCTGTCTGCCTGTATCCGTGATAGAGTTGGGTCTTGTCCAATGTGTTGGATTTGTGGGTTCTTGTTTGTTGTGGCAGAATGGGCCTGCTCTGGCCTACAGGTTCCACCCTGTCCTCCAAGGCTTTCCCAACACCTGCAGATGCTTGTCTCTCTCCCCAGTAACCCGCTGCTACCACCTGACCTTTGTAGGAATTGCCTGCTGGGACGGTCAGGACAGCAGAGGTCTGTGTGGCACAGAGAACCACTGCCAGCATCAAAAGTTATAAGAATTTATTAAAAAGAAAATGTTCACAAGCATACTTTTAGCACAGCACCAGGTTGAGCAAGGGATTCAGAAGAAATTGGTAAAATGCAGTTCCCCTGTCCCCCTCTCTATACAAGCCCTATCAGATGTTCAAATACAGGACAGGCTCCTTAGTTTAGGAAGTTACAGAGTGGCCATTACATTGAAGCTTCCTCCAGCTCTTCAGGCCAGCATATGGCTAATGGCTGCCTCCTCCAGACTTCAGTTAAGAGTTCTGTCTGCTCTGATGGACTCAGCACAAAAGAGACTTTCCTTTTTGCCTCCAGGAGTTTTTTCTTCTCCCTTTCCCCCTCCCACTGACCCATTCAGGCCAGGTCAAGGAAGCTTTTCTTGCAGTTAGTTGCTGTAGACTTTCTGGGCTGTGTGGCCGTGGTCTTGACATTGTAGAACCTGATGTTTTGCCAGCAGCTGTAACTGGCACCCTCAGAGGAAGTGCTCCCTCTCAGCTGTGGAATCTTGTGAGCAAAAATTCTACTTTGTGAGCTACTGGCATTAAAGTCGTGAGCGAGCGATTTGGCGACTGCATAAATTAATTTGCTCTGGAGCCATCCTTCCTGAGCGAAGACAACAATCTGTGAGCTGGAGGCTAAAAAACTGTGAGCTAGCTCACACTTAAGTCAGCTTAGAGGGAACACTGCTCAGAGGTATAACACAGTCACATGTGTTATGGATGCCAGTCACAGCTACTGGCGAAACATCAGGTCCTACAATGCCAAGACCACGGCCACACAATCTACAGCGACTAATGAACTCCGGCTGTGAAAGCCTTCGACAACATATTTTCTTGCAGTCTCCAGAAATTTCTTCCTGAAGTCTTTCTAGTCTTAATTCCTCCAAGTCTCTGTTTCCCGGGTGTGGGGGGGGGGGGGGGGGACTGGCCCATCCAGTTTTTTCTAGCTAGACCTATTAGCATTTGTATGAAGGCCGGCTGAGGTAAGTCTGGAAAGCGATTGAATTAACTTTCCCCCTTCCTGCCTGTTCTCTGCCCAGAGAGAATTTTTTTAAAAAAAACTCAGAGTGAAGGTTTTGCGTATTTCAAACCTCCGAAGGAAAAAAAAAATCATTTCTTCACAGACGTGTAGGAGAGTTTTTGCGGTTTTGTGGAGGGGTGGAGTGCAGGTAATACTATAAAACAAGTCGTAGAGTGAGCTCAAGAATGCCTGTAGTCCAGTAATTTCTTTCTTCTTCTTTTTAATGAGGAGGAGTTTCATCCTCTGTAGAAATACTGAGAATAGTCCTGGCCACCAGAGTGATTTAAAAATGGGATGATATTGCCCTCTAAATTCTGAGGGTAACCTTGGGATTGGGGGGGGGGGTCACGGCAGCAGCGAGGAACGAAGGGTTACCAATGGGGACACAAGGTGACAAAAAGCGCTTCTAGATGCGTGGAGCGGCCGCCCTTCACCCAGAGTGATCTTTTGCATGCGGCGGTGTTGGGTACTATGACCGTAGAGCCAACAGGTTCGGCCCCGATGCGAGAAACTGGGTGGAGGACTCAATGGAAGCCCCGTGTTCTTTTGAGCCTTCGGAAATAATGTGGGAGGAAGATGGTGGCTGCCGATCAATGTTCCCTCTAAGCTGTAGAGTCTTGTGAGCAAAAATGCTACTTTATGAGCTAAGGGCATTAAAGTTGTGAGCAAGCAGTTTGGCTACTGCATCAATTATTTTGCTCTGGAGCCCTCCTTCTTGAGCTAAGACCAAAATGGGTGAGCCAGAGGCTAAAAAACTGTGAGCCAGCTCACACTAACTCAGCTTAGAGGGAACACTGGCTGCCGTTAAGGAATAAAGTGCAGCCAAATTTGGTGTGCTGGAATTTGTGGAGAGGCCACTGCTTTCCCAGAGGGATACACCGTGGCGTCAGGATGCATTCTTAAAAACATTGCTCACACTTCAAGATGAGAGTAGTGGGAAACACCAGGCTTGGATCTCTGGGTGGCAGCCACAAGAGATACTCCTCCACCGAGAACACTGCTCTTGGCTCTTGGCAGAGGGACTCCTCTGTAGCTGAGGGAGCGGATCCCTGCCTTCCCCAGATTTCTACCCCCCCC